ACACGGAAGCGTGACGCATCGCCAACCTCCCCCGTCCACAGCAGTGTGGGCGAGGTCTCCGGAGCGGAGACACGGGGCCAGAGGTTGAGCTGATGCGCAGCGTACCGGACCGCAAACGGCCACAGAAAGTGGGGGGCAGCCGCGTGGACTAAGGAGGTACGAGCGACCTCCATGACCAAGCCAATGCGGCGCTCAGCAACCCCATTCTGCTGTTGAGAGGCCGGAAGCGTGAACGTCTGGCGAATGCCGTGCTCTGCACAGTAGGCTGCCAAGAGGTCGGAGGAGAACTCGCCACCTCTGTCAGAGTGCAAGCGCAGGACAGGAAACTCCGAGCGAAAACGCTCTCGCAGCTGAAGACGTGCTCTACTGATCCAAGGGATCAGAACATCAGGGACTTCACCCTTGGTGCGCAAGGGGAAGACCGTGGTGTAGCGCGAGTAGTCGTCAACGACGATCAAGAAGTACCTCTCCTGGCCCTGACCACGGACGCGGGCTGGGCCCCACACGTGCATGTGGAGCGTCTGCAAAGGAGCAGTCGTCAGGGGAAACGAGGAGGAGTGAGGGGCAGCGCGCTGCCGCCCCTCGACACAGGGAAGACAAGCAGGAGCAAGGGAGGGTGGGAGGGGAGGGAGTACCCGAGGAAGACCAGAGACAAGGTACCGGGAGTGCATGCCCCGAAGGCGCTGCACTGACGGGTGACCAAGTCGGTGGTGCCAGAGGACAGTCTTGTGCGCTAGAGAGCGACACGAGCAGGGGGCAGACAGCTGACCTGACGCAGACGCAGACGCAGACGCCGCTACCTGAGGGGACTCAGTGGTCAGTGTGTATAGGTCCGACCCCGGCTGCCGAGTGAAGGTAGCCAGGTGACGGCCCGTCCGAGCACACGTGCAGTGTGTCACACGCTCGTAGGCAGGGGTGAACTGGTGAACACCCCCATCCTGAAGCGCACAACCCGCCACCAAGTTCGTAGAGAACGAAGGGAGGTGGAGACCTGACAGTGTGCCCGACGGGACAGCAGGACAAGGAAGGACAGTGGAGGAGGTCGCAATGACCGGACCCCCAGAGGGGTCAGCGAGCGAGACAGCGACTGGTCGAGCAAGGGGCTCAAGAGCAGTGCGGTCACGAAAGAAACAGCGCGAAGCGCCTGAGTCTAGAGTGAAGGTGTGCAGTGCCTCAGTGGACTCAGTAGTACCTGGGGTGGCGGACACACAAGCACCTAGAGCAGTAGCCTCACTAGCACCTGGGGCAGCAGACACGCAAGCACCTAGGGCTGCAGCCTCACTCGTGCGGATGCCTGGGTCAGGCGGAACACACAGGTACTGGTCCTCCTCTCCACTAATAGTCAATGCATACATGGCTTTGAGAATAACATCAAAATCAAGAGCATAGATATCGATATCCTTCTTGAGGAGATCAGCCCACTGAGAGAGCTCAGGAGCGTCAGGAAACTGAGCACGCCACGCGTCATCTAGGCGAGAGAAGCAGCGCTGCGCAGTGTGCGCCCTCCCGCACGTCTGTCCCTTGCGGCGACCAGTGCGGATGACGTACGTGCAGCTAAGGCTACCCCCCCCACCCCCGTGCTGTAAGTACCACTCACGAAGCTCCTGGGAGGACTGAGGGTGCTGCGCGCTCTGGCCAGTGCCAGAGCCTCCACGACCACCACCGCCGCCTCCACCACGACCACCACCGCCTCTGCCGCCTCCACGTCCACTGCCGCCACCACCACCGCCCCCACCCCGGCCACCTCCGCCGCCGCTGCCTCCACCACCCCCACCGCTGCCACTAGCCCCTCCAGCCCCGCCACCACCCCCACCGCCGCCACCACCCCCACCACCGCCTCCCCCGCCGTCACCCCCACCACCCTTGCCTCCCCTGCCCTTGCCGCTGCGGCGCCCGCTGGGAGCGGACGCAGAGCCGACCTGCTCAGCACCAAGGAGGTCGACAGCAGCAGCAGAGGCGACAGAGGGGAGCAGGGGGGAGGGGGAACACCCCTCGAAGAAAGGGGTGCGGGGGTCGCCACGAGAGGCACCTACAGCTACAATACTCTTCTCAGCTGCAAGTAGTTCCTTCTCTAGGGCGGTAATGGTGAGCTCAGTGGGGCAGCGAGCTAGGAAGTGGTCCCTGACTGTACGCAGAGTGTCAGGGAGGCGGGTGACGAGGTGGTAGAGAGTGAGCCAGAGCGGGGGAGGGTTGGAGGCAAGAAACTCAGCGGGCATGGCTGCACGGAAGCGGGCATCACTAGTGCGGAGGTGAGTGATGAGGTCAGCGACTGTCTGGAAGGCGGACAGGTCGGGGAGCAGGTAGGGAAGCGAGAGGCGGCCTAGTGCAGCTGAGGCCGGGGAGGAGTAGCGCGCAACTACAGCAGTGTACAGGGCGTGCGCAGTCTGATGCTGGCCAAAGTGCTCGCGCTCGTCTACTGGCAGGGAGTTGCGAATAGCAAAGCGGGCGTGGGCATCGCGAGTCTGCCACTGTGAGCGAGCAGTAGCAGCAGCAGTAGTAGCAGGAGTAGGGACTGTGCCTAGTGCGTGATCGTACAGCGAGATATCCTCTCTAGCAGTGAGCTGGAGGAACAGATGCAGATCATCGAGCCAGGTCTCAAACTTAATCGGGCGGCCCTCAGTATCGAACGAGAGAACTGGAGGGCTAGCCATAGCTGAAGTAGCAGTAGCAGAAGTAGCAGTAGCAGTAGCAGCAGCAACAGCAGTAGCAGTAGCAGTAGCAGTAGCAGTAGCAGTAGCAGTAGCAGTAGCAGTAGTAGTAGCAGTTCAGTACTGGTGCTGCTGCTCAGGTAAGGAGGGCGCGGCTCGGCTAGGACGGCGCGGCTCGGCTAGGGCGGCGCGGCTCGGCTAGGGCGGCGCGGCTCGGCTAGGGCGGCGCGGTTCGGGTCGGGTCGCGCAGCGCGGCTCGGCCGTAGAGGGGCGAGCGCGGGAGGGGCCGTGAGAGGCAAGCGCGGGGGGCCGTTCGGGGGCCGGTCGGGGCTAGCGCGAGGCCATTCGGGGCCGTAGGAGGCTAGCGCGGGGCCTTAAGGGGCCGTGGGAGGCTAGCGCGGGGCCTGAAGGGGCCGTGGGAGGCTAGCGCGGGGCCTGACGGGGCCGTGGGAGGCTAGCGCGGGGCCTGAAGGGGCCGTGGGAGGCTAGCGCGGGGCCTTACGGGGCCGTGGGAGGTTAGCGCGGGGGCCACACGGGGCCATTCGAGGCTAGCGCTGGGCCACACGGGGCCGTTCGAGGCTAGCGCGGGGCCAATCGGGGCCGTAGGAGGCTAGCACGGGGCCGTAGGTGGGCCGTTCGGGGCTAGCGCGGGGCCGTAGGGGGCCGTGAGAGGCTAGCGCGGGGCCGACGCGGGGCCTTGAGGGGCTAGCGCGGGGTCTTAAGACGGGGCCGTGAGAGGCCGTAAGGGGCGACGCGAGGGGCCGTGAGGGGCCTGAAGGGGCGACGCTAGGAACGAGGCGCACGAGGGCGCTAGGAAAAGGCGGCGCACGAGGGCGCGGCTAGCGGAAACGGTGGGCCCTAACGTTCCGGTCCTAGGTGGAACCTAGGCTCGTAATACCATGTCAGAATCAGAAACAGGAATGTGTGTGACTAGCAGGAACAGCAATACAAATATGAAACCCTAAACTGGTATACCCCCTATGGTGTGACCCACTACAGCCTAGAACCACACAAACATATAATGTTTGACATTCTTGTCCCGATGCAGTTTGCGGTTGCGGCATGAAGCTGACGGAGCTACGTTGGGGCTCGTACGGCGCAAAGGTAGGCTGCTGTTGTTGTTGTTGCATCCCGCGTGCATAGGATGAGCCGTCGAGGCTCATCGGAGTAACATTGTTGTTGTTGTTGCTGTTGTTTGACTGCGCAGGCACTCCTTGCTGGTGTTGCTCGTAGAAAGACATGAAGGAGAAAAATTTCTCCATCATGTTTGAATCGAAGCCTGCTGGTGTTTCCGTGGACCCAGCTGCTGGTCTTGCGGTAGTGCCTTCCTCTGTCTGTAGGCCAGAGGTAGGAGGTGGAGTAGGAGTAGTGCCTGGGGAGCCGTTGGAGGAGCTCCTCTCCTTCCTTGCAGACATGTCTTCTTTCTTTGTATTTAAGTATTGAGAGAGAAAATGATCTTAAACTCTAACTGCTCTCATACCATGTTGGGCTGAGAAGCCCTAGGATCTTTGTAGAGTTTAAGGACTGAGTAGGATTGTAATAGCGGAAGCGTTGTAATACACAGTGGTTGAACCACCTTGCACTAGTATGTGATGCCAAAGTAGGTTGATTTGAAACAAGCAAATACAAGGTTTTATATAAGAGTACAAGGAATACGAATAGATATAATAACTGTCTTGCTGTTGCGATTCGATACAGTGCGACTCGGGCAACTGCTCAATGTCGAGTCGGTTGTGTGTCCTTGCTGTCGCGCTGTATTGGTCAAGTCAAAGGTCACTGACCTTTGACCTTCGCGTAACCTCCAGGCGGTTTCCCCAACTTCCGAGGGTTGACTCGCGATGCTTCGATTTGGACTGCTTCGCTTTGAGTCCTGAGTTTCGACACGATAGAGGCGCTTAAGACTTATTGTTCCCAACACTTATTAGGGCCCAGTAGAGAACAGGAGATGCTTGAGGTGTTGTGCTGTGTCTATCACCATAGCACTGGCTGTCACTCAGTTTAGCAGTGGCTCTCAGCAAAGCAGTGGCTACAGGTGAGAGGGGAGGCTACCTAAGGTCGGCATTGCCCATAGACGTTTTGGCTACAGCACACACTGGCACCCCACCTCCTGGTCATTGATTGTCTTGATGCACATGGAGTGTGCCATTGTAACGAGGTGGCTTTTGAGCCCACTCAAAAGCCACCTGGTTGGCATTGACCGTAGACGTTACGGTAGCCGTGGGCGCACTGGCACCCCACTTCCTGGTCGTCCTTTGTCTTGATGCACGCGGAGTGTGCCGGGCACTTGACACGGCTGCAAATGTTGTCTGGATCACATGGGAGGGGCATGGGAGGGGAGGGATGGGGGGAAAGTTAACTTTGAGTCGACTCAAACGTCACCTCCTGGTCATCCTTTGTCTTGATGCTCGTGGAGTGTGCTGGGCACTTGACACGGCTGCAGATGTTGTCTGGATCACATGGGAGGACGGGGTGAGAGGGATGAGATGAGAGGCATGGGGTGAGAAGCATAGGGAAAAGAGACATAAAATGAAACAGAAAGTGCACGCATGGCAGCAGCAGCCCATGCATGCTCGTCGTTCATTTCGTCTGCAGAGGCATGTTTGGCAGTAGGAGCAAGGCGAATGCATGACAGCAGCAGAAAGGGAGACAGTTGACATGGTAGCAGCAGGGGCACTCACCAAGCACGCAGCGAATGGACTTCACTGATGGACTTATCTTGGTGGTACTGCTCACACACGCACAGGGGGAGGGAAAGAGGGGGGGGGGAAGGAATGGGAGGAGTGCATGGGAGGGAGGGACTTTAGAGCTAACTCAAAATTCAACTCAGACGGACTTCACTGATGGACTTATCTTGGCGGTACTGCTCACGCACGCACACAGGGGGAGGGGGATGAGGGGCGCATGGGAGGGACTTCAGGGTCAACTCGAAAGTCAATTCGGGTTGACTTCACTGATGGATTTATCTTGGTGGTACTGCTCACACACGCACAGGGGGAGGGGAGGGGCACGTGGGAGGGGCTTTTGAGTAAATTAGAAATTCAACGCGGATGGACTTCACTGATGCGTTGATCTTAGAGACACTGCTCACACACACACAGGGGGAGCGGCACATGGGAAGGGGCGCATGGGAGGGAATGTTGAGTCAACTCATAAGTCAACTCGGGTTGACTTCACTGATGCGTTGATCTTAGAGACATTGCTGCTCACACACACACAGGGGGGGCGGCACATGGAAAGAGGGGTGGGGAGGGCACACGGGGCGCGGGGTTGTTGGGGCGTGGGGAGGGCACATGGGAGGATCGTTGGGTGTGGGGAGGGGCGCATGGGGGCATGAGGGTACTTGCTGCATGATGGGTGTTGTCGCATGTAGGAAATTGGTTTTTGGAAGCGCGACCCATCAAGACGGACGAGGCGCCAAGCAATGTTGTGTGCAATGTCTGAATCTTTGTACTAGGTTTCTTACGAGACACGGAACTGCTAGGTACAAGTAGTGGTTGCTAGGTAGTGGGCAAGTTTAGTAGGATTCGGAAGGGTACTTGCTGCATGATGGGTGTTGTCGCATGTAGGAAATTGGGGCATGCAAGCAAGCAAGGGAGCGAGCTTTGCTGCGCGCCAGTAACAAACGGGTGAAATTCTCACCCGTAACAAACGAGCGAGCTTTCCTGAGAGCTCACCGGAATAAGTATTCTCCCGTGTATTTGAAATTCGCCGCCGCAGCACCCGAGCAGTCAGGCGACGCGAACAGTTGGAAAGGAGCTTTGTTGCACACCAAGACAAGCAGATGAAAGGCTCACCGGAATAGGTATTCTCCCGTATATTTGAAATTCGCTGCCACAGCACCCGAGCAGTTGGGCGACACGAACAGCTGCACCGCGTTGCACACCGTGCGATCCCCCCCACCGAACACGTCCCACCACACCACCGCGTCTCCCGCGCCTCCTCCTCCTCCGCTACTGCCGCCCGCGCCGCTGCGGCGCACGACGCCAGCGCCGGCGCCGCCGCTCGCGCCGCCGTCGATGCTCGCGGACGCGCCTTGGGGCACGGACACGCAGCGCGCCCAGTCGAAGTCGACGTAGTTGGGCTGCGCGAGTGAGCCGACGAGCACCACCGTGCCCACTCGCACCTTGGCGGGCACCACTTCTTTGGCTGCCGCATTTGCTCCCATTGCTGTGAGGATGATGTTGGACAGAAAGAGGAGAGCCCAGAATGACAAGGGAAAGGGTCAGAACGAGTGAGCCGACGAGCACCACCGTGCCCACTCGCACCTTGGCGGGTACCACTTCTTTGGCTGCTGCCGTCGCTGCGAGCACGTCAGACGGAGAAGGGCGAAGACAGACAGAAAGCGAAGGGAAAAGGTCGGAACGAGTGAGCCGACGAGCACCACCGCGCCCACTCGCACCTTCGCGGGAACCACGGCGGTGGCAGCCGCTTGATCTGCTCCAGTTGCTGCGCGCAGAAGGGGCAAGACAGACAGAAAGGGAAGGGAAATGGTCGGAACGAGCGAGCCGGCGGGCATCACCGTGCCCACGCGTAGCTCCGCGCACCAATGAGGCGACGAGGGAGGGAGGGAGGCGTACCAATGAGGATTGCGGCGACGAGCAGCGCGGCTGCGGTTTTGAAACCCATGCTGCTGCTGCTGCTGCTGCTGCTGCTGCTGCTGCTGCTGCTGCTGCTGCTGCTGCTAGTGGAGGTGGTGCTCGCGGCGGTGACGAACGAGGTTCAATTAGTAGTAGCGGCGAGGGGCGCCGGCGGATTAGCAGCGGCGAGGGGTTGCACTGGAGAATCCGTCGAGTCGGACAGATGCAAGTCAAAGGAAGCGACAGAGGTGAAACCTGAGTGTTCTGATGTGAAAGAAGAAGGCAGGGTTGCAGAGGAAGTGGCTAGCTAGTGCGCGTCGGAGCCTCACAAGTGCGAGTGATAGTTGACGAGGTGAGTGCATTTTCCCGGCGAGGCCCGCTACTAGGAATATATGCTTTAGGGCGCGCATATTTGACACGGTCCGTATTCGATGGCAGTGCAGCTCGACTCGAAGGGCCGAACGGTGGCGGCGCGGCAATAATTTCCGCCGGGTCCGCACGCCCATATTCACGGATCTCTTGACAATAATTCACCCACTCATAATTTCATAAATCTGAAAACGCGGCTCCCATAAGCGTCTTCATTCCGCTCAAAGAGGGAGGCAGACCCGTGGACTGGCAACAATGGCTGTGTTGGTCTGACATCGTGCGTACCGTGCCTCTGCTGCTACCAATAATACTAGTGCTCCTTCCTCTGCCTCCTTTCTTGTCGAGCTGAGTCTACTTTTAGAGAAACTCACGAACCATATAAGATTGGAAGAAGGTCAACGCGTACAGTTGCAGATTTGTTATACGTAAATATGCTCATCGAGGCGCTTAAGTCTCTGCAGACTGTGTCCATCTAACGGACTCTACAGTGGGGTGTACTATGAATGCAGTCATCCACAGCTTACAAGCAGACTCGCAATGCTAGAGCAGGTGCGATGGATCTGCTGCAAGCGGCCAGGCCAAAATTCTTGGTAGGTCAATGCCGCATTGCTCGCTGATCTGATGTGTCGTCGTTTCAATGAGTCCGTGCTTGCAATCACTCTTAACCTCCAAAATCTCGTGCGTACCGCCAATCAAAATATGAAGGGGTGACATGGCAGCCATATGGGAGGCACTTGGGAGATGCACTCGTGGTCGCGCGTGCAACCTGCCAAAATCTGAGGAGGAAAGGCCTGCCAGCGTGGACCATCCCAAACTGAACACGTCTCCCTTTTTCCTCCCAACTGCTTTTCGGAGTGTGGGATGGGAGGAGTAAATTGGTGCGCCTCGGTCTGTCACTTCAGCCGAATGTGTGGGTGCGTGGGTCTCGTCGAATATGCGGCTCCACCTCAGGCCACGGATGGGGCTTCGCTGTGCAATTCGCCTGAGGGAATGCATCAGAAGGCCCGCTTGGGCAAAATTCGTTGCACCAGTGGCGCCTATAAAATTCCTCGTTCCATCCGATCAGTCTCATCAACCGGCTAACTGTTCGCTTCAGATTCGACACATTAGTCGTCAGAGCTCCTTGCAACTTCTGCTCTCAGCTCTTAGTCTAATCAGAGTCGATCTCAGCTCCCGCTCATACCATGGCCGCCTCTCTCGCCGCCCGTCAGGCTATCGCCTCCCTCACATTCAGCGCTAGCGTCCGCGGCGCTGCGCTCTCCACCCCTCGCCTCACCGCGACCCCCGCCGCCGGCGCCGCTCCTCGCGGCCTCGGCCTCACAACGACCGCGCTCTTCTCCAAGAAGGCCGCCGCGACCCCGGCGAAATCAGCGAAGGCGGCTACCACCAAGAAGCCTCGCACGGAGGATGGAATCTTCGGCACGTCGGGCGGATTCGGCTTCACGAAGGCTAATGAGCTTTTCGTAGGCCGCGTCGCCATGCTCGGCTTCGCCGCGTCGCTCCTAGGAGAGGCCATCGACGGCCAAGGAATTCTCGGACAGCTCAACCTTGAGACAGGAATTCCCATCACCGAGGCCGAGCCGCTTCTGCTCTTCTTCATTGCCTTTACCGTGCTCGGCGCGATCGGCGCGCTCGGCGACCGCGGGCGCTTCGTTGACGAGGAGGCGCCGCGCTTCGTCCCCGCGAAGCCTGGGAGCCTGCGGTCCGCGCTCGGCCTCAGCGAGGAGGGCCCGCTCTTCGGCTTTACCAAGGCGAACGAGCTGTTCGTGGGGCGCATGGCGCAACTAGGGTTTGCCGCGTCGCTGGTTGGGGAGGTTATCACCGGCAAGGGCGCGCTTGCTCAGCTGAACATTGAGACCGGTCTGCCGGTCTGGGAGGTCGAGCCGCTACTGCTTGCGAGCATTGTGATTCTGTTCATCGCAGCGATCAACCCCGGCACGGGCAAGTTCATCAATGACGATGACGAGTAGTAGCGAAATGTGTGCGATTCCGTGTGTGACGGAATAAGTGCGATTGCACGAGTTTTGACAGTAGGGTTCCCTCGGAGCTTGTGTTTCTGCCGCAAGGCAATGTTTTCTCGTGTGTTGATATTTTTATACTACCGACCACAGTGAAATTCCTGGATTGAAAATTACTTCCCACGACGGATGCTGAACACCCTGAACGCCTTCAGTCATCAAATCCCACCTATTCTCACTCTGCTTAAGAACGCCGGGAACATTTGAAGTAATAACCAGGTTCTCACCCTCGTACTATGAAATTGACCTTTCGTTCTGGAGAGTGACAGATCTGTGGAGGTAACATGGCTTGTAAGGTCTAAATATCCGGCTGCAGTTGAAATGAAGCTGAAAGCACTAAAATCGATGGAGTTACCAGTAACTTTGTTAGTGAAATCCTAATATGTGATTCCGTCTGAAATCCTCCCCCGTTGGGCACGGGGAGTTAGGTGGGATGGAAGTGGCAAAACAGGCGAAACTGCCATCAGTGTACGTGTTTGCTTTAAACTCGACACCCGATACAAGTGGTTTTGTACTTGCTATAAGAAATATAAAATTTTGAAAGTGTGAAACACTTTCCAAAATTGTGTATTGTGAATAGCGAAGCGAGTTGTACCGAGGCAAAGGCCTCGGCAAACCGCTAATTCCCCCTCTTTTCGGTAAAAAAGAGGGGCGAAGGCCATTTGGCCGTCACCAGGGCTCTTCCTAACATTTACCGGTAGGCCCATCTGACGTTTTCCTAAAAAAAATTGCCTGGCCCTCATATAAAAAATTCCTGGTGGTCTTTGCCCTCAGACGGATTTTATAAGTTAGTATGCCGGCTCAGACGGATTTACACGAAATCAGACATTTATTTAACTATATGGTCTACACACATACCGTCAGACCCCGTATAGAAGTGTCACAATATATATATATTTGTAACTGCCTGTAGCTGTAGTTAGTGTAGATATTTAAACTTTGTTTGGTGGTGCACCTTATGTGTTTCCTTTGCTATATGTACTTCGAAACTATAGTGAAGACGCACATTCTCCAATTTTCCTCTCTCAACTCACTCGACACTCACCCTAGGTGAAAACCCGCTCGACACTTAAGTTAGGGCCTAGGCTACTAAGCCTAGGCCCCACCTTTCTACTGTTAATTACTTAGTCTCTCGACATGGTATCAGAGCTAGGTTCGTCCTGGCCTGTGGGCCCACTTTACACTTCCGTTGCTAAGGTTTTCCGGTCGCGCGCCTAGGGCGCGTGACGATTTTATTTTTACATTGTCCCGCCCACGGGCGAGTGACTCCTTCCCTGCCCGTCGCGCGCCCCGTGGCACGCGACGGTGCCCTTCGTCTGCCCATCGTGCGCCCCGTGGCACACGATGGTGCCCTGCTCGTCGTGCGCCCCGAGGCACACGATCGGGCCCTTCTATTCTACCCGTCGTGCGCCCCGTGGCACTGGCCCGCGACGGGCCTTTCCGCCCCTGCACTCCCTGAAGCCGCCCCTGACACCACTGCACCGACACCTTTTCGCCGCTCTGCGGCTTTCTTCCTTCCCACCCCCCTCCTCCTTTGTCTCCCTGCAGCCGCGGGGAGGAGGGTATGGGGGTGGAGGGTGTTGGAGTGTGGCGTCACCTCTCTCCCTTCCCCTCCTCCTTCTTTCAGTCCCACCGCTGCAGCTGCCGCTGGGGGGAGAAGGTGTGAGGATGTGGGGGAGCAGGGGGAGTGGTACCGGGGTGGCGGGTGTGAGGCAACATGTAGCCGTCCCTCCACCTCTCCTCTCTTCCCCCCCTTCTCTGCTGCTCCTGCAGCAGTGTGGGGGAGGGGAAGGAGGAGGGTGAGGAGATGGAGGGGGTGACCACTTAGTGTCAGCCCGCCTGCATTACCTGCTGTTGCTTGCTATTTATTTTGCATGTGTACACCTGCAGGTTGTATTCTACACATACTCCTGCTGCAGGCAGTTATGGGGGAGTGTCACAATATATATATTTGTAACTGCCTGTAGCTGTAGTTAATGTAGATATTTAAACTTTGTTTGGTGGTGCACCATATGTGTTTCCTTTGCTATATGTACTTCGAAACTATAGTGAAGACGCACATTCTCCAATTTTCCTCTCTCAACTCACTCGACACTCACCCTAGGTGAAAACCCGCTCGACACTTAAGTTAGGGCCTAGGCTACTAAGCCTAGGCCCCACCTTTCTACTGTTAATTACTTAGTCTCTCGACAAGAAGCGCCCCTGGGGGTAAAAAAAACGCTGCTTTTTGGGGGGTGCGCTTATAATCGAGGAATTTTATAAGCGCCGGCGCTTATAAAATGGCAAAAAGAATATATGTTTGTTTCACACCAAACTGTATATCTCGTTCTGCCGATTGTAAACTAGTCGAAAACATATAGGGTCGCGAATCTGATTCCCGCGCAGCTTGGCAGGGAGTGATTCCTGTGAGAATAAGTGAACAGGAATGAATGAACTAGCAGTGAAATGAGTACAAGTAGGAAACCCTAGAATTGTGTACCCCCTATAGGCTAACCCACTGTAGCCTACACAAGCATAACATATATAATGTTTGACACACCCCCATAGGCAAAGTGGGGGAGAACAAGAGGTCACAAGACAAGTCAAGCAAAGCAAAACAAAGCTCAGGGTGGATCACAAAGTCACCACACAGTCCGAGCACAAGAGCAGGGCCAGAGGCCAG